CCAGCCCAAACCATTCTATGATTCTAACCCCTTCTGCAGCTCCCAGGTGAGAGGAGCGGGGCAGGACAGTTTCCAAGGAGAGCAGGCGAGCTGAAGCATGTCACTCCCCTGTTCAGAGTTGCCTGCGGCCAGGGAAAGGGCGCTGGAGTTGCCTGCGGGCAGGGAAAGGGCGCTGAGGGACGGAGAGTGAAACAGCTGCATAAGAAGGGAAAAAAATGCCATAGAAACGGCCTGGGCACCTCCAGGTTTATAAAAGCCCAGGTACAAAGCGGCACTTTGGGTATGTGTGACCTGAGGGCTGTGCACCCCAATGCTCTCCCTGGGGACCCCAGGAGGGCCATGGACCCCAATTCTTTCCCCAGGGACCCAAGGAGGGCTGTGCACCCCAGTGCTCTTCCCAGGAACCCAAGGGGGGCTGTGCACCCCAGTGCTTTACCAGGGGCAAAGTGTTCCCTGAGAAGCAGTTAACAGTCTAGTAAACAGGACCAAGAACACCAGTAAAAGGGGAGATGCTGGTAGGCAGGCTCGAGGAGCCTCCTGGGAATCAGTAAAAGAAAACAATATGGAAAGATGCGGTCCCACAACAGGGCTGTTTATGTTCCACAGTGAACTGAAGCTATGGAGGGGCTGATGGAGAGAGGGTTGCGAGAGCCAAGACAGGCAGAACAGTTTTTGCAAAATAATTGCTCATGTTTTGCAAATACATAGCTCAATTTTGAAAAATTACACAAAATGGAAGTAGAAGGTGTAATAAACTCTTTTAATTAGATAATTCTTAAGATATACTTCAGTATATAAAAATTCTTCTCATATACAAAATAATATACGCATGTAAGTAGAGAGCACGCTGAAACACCAGCATCCATCTGCTACATCATGCAAACTGATGATTCACATTCCATGTAATGGAAAGGACCAAAATGGTTAAGTGCAAAAAACCCCTTTGCTGCGTGACATAATCTCCCCAGTAAATAATTTCTTTGCAATGCTTGTCAGGTACTTGTTTCTGTGTGTTCTCTGCCTTGGCAGTTCATTACATCTGCTCTCCCAGGCTGTTTAAAAACCAGTGTAGTCCTGGCTACGGTCATCCTGCATAACTGCCCCCCTCTAACACACGGTGGGGATTCCAGTAACCTGCTACAAAGATGACAGCACCATAACCAAGAACATTAATTTTCTGCAAACTCTTTTCTATTGTCTGTCTAGATAGAGAACCTTCCATGATTTTCCCAGTTTGAGGATAAACAAGGAGTCTTCATCAGTGAATGTAAACACTTTGGTGCAGCAGAGATAATGCAGAGAATGGGTCGGCTTGTCTCCACTGCTGAGCATGAGTCATTCCTCCACCGCGGCTTTCTCCACCGGTTTTTGTGCTTGCAGGTATAAAGCAGTGGCTGCTTTTAATTATCAAAAGGGAAGCACAGAAAGACAATACACAATTTGCCTCCCTCTAAAGCGATTCAGAGAAAAGAGACGAGGAAAAAAACATGATTAAATATTAGACAAGGCATGAAATACAGTAGTTCAAATGATTCCCTGCACCCTCCTTTCAGTACACTGTTTTCACGTGTATGTATCTGGGCTTGCTGCACAACAGCCAAGTGTTTTATGCGTAAGATATAATTATAAAACAGAAAAGAGCTAATTAGCGTCTCTTCAGTTTGAAATAAGGTCTTCAGTAAACCTCTTTTTAGCTTGTACGATATGCAGAGACCTGACACTTCCCCACATAAATTGGTAATGCAGATGAGCTTACCATTAAAATTATGAGCTTTTAAGCTAAAATTAAAGAAAATGTGCGATGTTACCTTGGCTTTAATAAACCATACATCTCTTATTGCCTTACAGAAAACATTTCCCAGTTTGCACTAAAGATATTTTAGAATAAATATTCTAAAAAACAAATGGTATAAATGCTTTTCGATGCTTTGGGTAGGAGCTAAAGTTTTCCTGATAGAACTCGTGACACAAAACAGCAGCCAGTGCCTGGTTAAAAAGAACATACGTCACTACACACCACCACGTCACATTGTGAAATCCAAGCATGATGGCCATGGATACATATATAAGGAGCTCTGCAAAATAATGAGGGCAAGAAACTCTCTCAAACCAGTCTCCAAAAGGTACACTGTGGCTCAGGCTTACAACCTTTCCTGCAAGCAAACAGAAAGAAACTAGTTGAGAACAACATGCATTAAACAAACTTTTATCTTCTAGTCACAATTACAGAACAACATACTCATTAAAGTTATCATCATCATCCACCTCCATCTGATCTGGCAGCTCTGCACTTAACGAAATAAGATGCCACCTCTGTCTGTTTGTGCAAATACAGAGTGAGGAAACCTATTTTTAGCCCACATGGAGACAGAGGGGAGGTCCTTGAGGAGTGGTACAAGCCGTAAGCATTAGCATCTGTCTGTCCTTAGGATACGAGAAGCTAGACCTTCATTTTAAGTTTTATAAAACTATATATACAGATACACATCCCTCCTATTCATCCATCCGACCTCTTTTCCAAACAGACTCATTTAATCTACTGAAAGTGTTACAGAGAGCAACCACAGTACAGGAACTGAAAAATACTCGCGTTTTAAGGTATTAGAAGCGACAGAAGAATATTGAAACAACCAGGAAAAAATTACCTAAGTAAATGGTTGGCAGAAATTAAACATCTTACCTGACTTGCTTTTTCTAAGATTAGCTAGAATCACAAGACATCTGTGTTGGTGAAGAGAGGCCCAAATGTACATCGTAACTCCCACAATGTGATACCAGCAGATCTGCACAGAGAGCTCTTTTCCTGAATTAAATATTTTTCATTAATATACAGCCAGAAAATACTTTTCCAAGCATCATCCCAAAACATTGCATACATTTTTAAATGTTACTGTCTTACAAAATTCTAGTAGTAAGCCTCTAATAGGGGAATAGCAGCTTGGTTGTGAGACTCAGTGGAATGTGTTGACAGAAACAATTAATATAACTCAATTTTTTTCTTAATTAATGGAGACATTACAGTACCGAGGGAGAGCGTGACTGATGCAATGCAGAGCCATGGTGAGTTCTCAGTGGAAAACTAAGGAAGTGGCCAAGACAGCCTTACAAACTCACCTTACAGGAAAGCTTACAACAAAAAAACAAACTCCAATTTTAGAACTCAAGTTGCGTAGTGGCATCTGAGAACCAGTACCTATTACAGTCCTGCATAAGGTATCTCAATGCAAAACTGATCAATCATGATCCTGAAAGTATCTATGCAAGATGTCCTTCAGGAAATAACAGTGATGGTTAATGTGGAAGTATATGTCAGTGTCTGTGTTTGTGTATAATGGTGGTCAATTATGTGATACACTGAAATGTAGTTACTTTGAACTATTCCAGTACGTATTTTTATGTCTCATCAGTTAACACACTTCTCACACAAGCAGCCCTCTATGAAACCATGTGCCACGATGGAAACAAATGTGAGTAAAACTGCATCTTTGGTAATAACTAAGCAGGCACTTACCATTCCTGATGTTAGTAGGCACTTGGCATAGCACAGTTGAGCCAACGGCAATGTAGTAACCCAGTCCAAAGCAATACTGCACAACATGAATGACGCCATCGGAAAACACGCTGGTCCTGAGGCACTCTGCAAGTCTGCGACAACTATGCAGCCAGAGCAGAAAGAGAACCAGGAGCGCAGAGAAACGCTCACTATCTGCTTGCAGATAAAAAATAGCAACTTTGAGACAGACAGGAACAATATAACCCTGACAGTGCTTCAAAAAGGCTATTTTGCCCCTCCCCACAGCAAAATTTTACCCTAATTTTAAATTAACTGAACACTGGGGAAAATATTTGTATATGGGAGGCATTGCCAACCACAGCAAGGTTACTTCTAGAAGGTGCTAACAGCCCTTTCTGCTAAAAGGACTGCTGAAAGCCATCATATCCATAAATTAGAATGATTTCTACCTTGAATAATGGCAAAGGGACTTGGTATTCCAGGAAAGTCACTTGGAGCCTAGTTTAAAAGCAGATGATGAAGTGGCACTTAAAGAATACAAATCCAGCACAGCATGGTAGTGCAGCTTTCGAATATTCATATGGCTGCATTATAGAAGCTGGAGTACTTGCCTGTGTTCTCGCTCCGAGAGTCTCTGCCAAGCGCAAGGTGCATGTGCTGAATCCATGCTGGGAGTGACCCCCCGAGGAACTCAGCTTGGAAAAGCCAGATCAGCAGAGAGCCGTTCCAGAGCACAGAAACCACATAGAAGTGAGTAAACCACCTGTGCAAACAAAAAGGGTCTTCATTAATGTTCTCATCGTTTCTTAATTAGAAACGTAGATGCAGGACATGCTTGCCTAATGGTGAGTATATTCCCTCTTGGTCCCCACATCAGTAAGGAGAGAACTCGGGACTCCAGTGGTACCAAGCAGGAATAACCGTAACGTCTTCTTCCCTCAGTGAAATGCTGCCTGGAATAACCTCTAACTTAGCTACCTTACTAACCATAGCTGCACTGAAGAGGAGAAAGTCTAAACCACACGTTGCAAAGGTATTCCTCAATGCTTACAACTAATCATGATGTGCACAACTTTTTCTTTATAATTTACATCACTGAAAGCACATCCAAATTAATTTTCTGAGTATTTCCAGGCTGTTGCGCCGAGCCAAACTCCTACTTTCCTCAGTTCTAGTGGATGTATTACATGATGTGTTAGACGTTCATAAATGACAAATGCAGATGGTAAAAGGCACCCAGATGTAAATACTCAGCTGTACACTAAAATATTTTGTCCCTCTGCAAATTCAAGGCCTGCAACAACCATATAGAAAAAAAGGAGAGACCACCAATACCACTGGGTGATTACAAGGCAAGACCACATGTCTTTTTGAAGAAAACAAAGAACCCCCAACCCCATAACGCACTTCTGAAAGCACATTATCAATTAGTGAAATGCAAGACATTATGGTCAAGACAAGTAACTGGATGGAGTTAAACAGCCTATGATATCCAGCTCAAACTAGGTGATTCAGGGTTTCCTTTTGCTTTTAAAACTAAAAGCCCTTTTGGCAATGAATAAAAATCAGGACCTCTGGAAACACCTGCAAAGAGATGAACTACATACCATGGGAAGACACTGATGACCTTGTCTTGACAAGGTAACTATTGGTACAAAACTAGGATATCAATAGAGTCAGAGAAGACCATATTTCTCTGGAACATGCATTTCTTTTGGGGAAGTGTAGGGGTAGAATACCCTTGCTTACTGAAACCAAACAAAGTGACCCCCCTACCGAGCAGCTCGGGTATCTCTCAACAGCAATACAGAGGCCAAGTCAGAACCACAGAGGCAGCGAGCACCCTGCACGCTCCAGAGTGCCTTACCCATTAACAGTTGGTAGCCTCTTCAGAGAAGCACTTCTCCTCGGTTCCTTCTGCTACCAAGCAGAGACAGCAACATTTGCTCTACTGATTTGCAACAGCATAAGTAAAATTTAGCCCCTCTCCTTCATTTTCTGCTTAGAAGACACGTAGAACTTGTATATTGATAAAAACCTCACTGCCACCTTCAAGTTTCAAGCCTGCTGTTCTGTAGACTCAGTAGACTTCTGTCTCATCACTCACCCGAAAACTTTCTCCACACACACTGTTTCTCGCTACAAGCACACAAACAAGCCCTGCCAGGTTAGCACGGACATGCCCTGCGAGCTTTCAGCAATCCCAGTTACGCTGGGGATGTATCTGACCTACAGAGGGATCCAGCACTGCAGTAAGTATGTGTGTCATCCCTCAAGGAGAGCAACATTCACTATTTAGCAACTAACCTGAAATGAATCATAATATTTGACAAGATGGAAGGCAAAGTTAAAAAACAAGCCTAGGCCAGTGAAAATACAATGCAAAACAAGACACAGATGAATGGAAACAGAAAATGCCTCAACGGCTACCTTCAGGATCTTCTCTATTCTTTCAGCCTGCACAGTCATGGGTTCACTACTCAAATAATATAATCGCTTTGTAGGTTTTGAGAGCTCGAGACCAATTCCCTGCAAAAGCCACGTTCTCCAGAAACCATCTTCGCTAAGACAGGGTGGTGAGAAATTTCTGTTGGAGAAAGGTCAACTCAAATGAGAAACCACCTTAAGAATGTGGCACTTTGCAGTACACTGCAATTAAGACAGCCTTTACAAGCCCTTATTTTCTCTGAGGGAACCGCAGAGCTTAAACACATCCCTGGTTATTTTCTGTAACCAGACGCTTGATAACCAAGATACTACATTATGACCTTTCCATGAATAACATGCTGTGTCACAAAACTTCAACATTTGGTTTGAAAGCTATGTATGTAAAATGCATCAGTGATAACGAGATTGTTACGTTACGGGCAATCAGATCTTTGGGTTAAGCAGCCTCCCAGTCCTGTCCTGCTGCCCTCACAAGATCCTGTCACACCTGTGTTCAAGTCAAAGGCAAGTTCTAGCTGTGAATCTCGGCTGATGAAAACCAGTGAAATCCCAGTAACTTACAGAAAGCTGTAAATGTCTTTTTTTTTTTTTTTTTAGCTACTGAACATCTACTAAGAGATGCATTTGGATAATGCAGTGGTTCTTCTGCCTTACTACACTGTTCACGCAGGATTCAGAGCATTGTTAACATGTTGTTATTAGTGTCCTAAGTCACATTTTAAAAAGAAACCTTGAAGGAAGAAGACAACTGAGAACTGGTTTAAGGCAGTAAGCCTGCAGTGTATTTGCATAATGACAGTTACACTCCAGAATCCCTATTCCTGGCAGGAAGGTTTGTTCCGCGGACACCGCATGGGATGGGATTCAAGGCTTTTTTTCCAGTTTTTGGGACACACGGACTCTGTATCACAGAATGTTGGGGATTGGAAGGGACCTCAAAAGATCATCTAGTCCAATCCCCCTGCCAGAGCAGGAACCTAAACGAAATTACACAGGAAGGTGTCCAGGCGGGTTTTGAATGTCTCCAGAGAGGGAGACTCCACAACCTCCCTGGGCAGCCTGTTCCAGGGCTCTGTCACCCTCACTGTAAAGAAGTTTCTTCTCAAGTTTAAGCGGAACCTCCTGTGTTCCAGCTCACACCCATTGCTCCTTGTCCTACCATTGGGCATCACTGAGAAGAGCCTGGCTCCATCCTCATGACATTCGCCCTTTACATATTTATAAACATTAATTAGGTCTCCCCTCAGTCTCCTCTTCTCCAAGCTAAAGAGACCCAGCTCCCTCAGCCTTTCATGACTGCGGTTGTCTGTGCTCCTTGGTTCCGCATCTCTGCGAACAGACCAACACTTCTGCAAAAACAAATGAGCCCAAGTCTATAAAAATTGGCGATGCTATCTGCATACGCTGTTTTTTCCCTGCATCGTCAGTGGAATTAATGGACACG